GACGGGAACCAAGGGAAAGACACTAAAGCACTGGAATATTGAAGATAAAATAACAAACAAGAAGTACTGAGCAAAGAGATCAGGTGTAGGCTAGAAATGTGAACGAACTGGCAAGTGAGTGAGAGGTGAGCTGGGTATAAATAAGGGCAGACTATAGAGTGCAGCTGGTGCTAATCATGGGAGTGAGGAGCAGGTGTATGGAATCAGCAATCAGCCCTTGTTTTACCTATTATTTTCACTTCTTTAATAAGTTCAGCATACTTTCAGCTAGCAAAGCCATTCAGCTATCAAAATGTTCAGCTCTTCAAGGGCAGTCATTTCTAAACTTCATACTTTTGAAATATTTAGCTTTATTTTGAAAGTTTTTCCTGATTCAAATGAATGGGAAAATTCTATCAGGTAGCAAAATGTTCAGCTCTTCAAGGACATTCATACTTCTATTCAGAATTTTTCTAAACTTCATACTTTTGAAATATTTAGCTTTATTTTGGAAATTTTGCCCCATTCAAATGAATGGGGAAATTCTACTTCATCATACTTTCAGGGGTATTTCAGGTATCAAAATTTTCAGCTCCTAAAGGACCTTCATGCTTCTGTTCAGAATTTTTCTAAACTTCATACTTTTTAGACTATTTAGTTTTATTCTGAAAAATCTTGCTCCATTCAAATGAATGGAAATATTCTACTTCAGCATACTTTCAGGTATTTCAGGTATCAAAATGTTCAGCTCTTCAATGACTTTCCTGCTTGTATTTATTGCATCTAATCTTTCAAATTATTCGACAAAGAACTTCAGCCATTTCTTCTCAACTGTTTTAACAAAGAAATTCAGCAATTTCTACTCATCCTTCAGCTGTTTCAGCAATTGATTTCAGGCATTTTCGGCAGGAAATGCATTTCTCTAGTTATACTTGTACCCTTTTACGTCAGTCTTCCCAAGACTAACGTCTGAGTAATTTTCACCAGAGGCAGGCGTACTTTTTTCAGGAAAATTTGAAACATCAGTGTGTATAACGTCAGCCAAACAGCACAATGGAGTCGGTCATTGGTAAGGGATGAAAAATAAAAGCAGAAATAGCAGATAAAGTGCAAAATTGGGTGGAATTAGGAAACAAAGGCAGCAGAAAAAAATACTTGAGCTTACAGTAGTTTAAAAAGTGGCTACAGCTGCGGCAGATCTAAGTTCTAATAGAAGCTGGTTTTAGCTGAACAAGATAGACAAGATACAGCTTCACATCACCAAGAGTAAGAGACTTATGGACTGCAATGTTTTGATTTTCACTGAAACCTGGCTAAACAGCAGCATACCCGACAGTGCTATCGAGCTGGATGCTACACACTCCGGGCAGATAGAACAGCAGACGACTCTGGTAAGACCAGAGGTGGAGGATTGTGCATTTATGTTAACAAAGCTTGGTGTACGAACTCTGTCATCACTCAGCTGCTCAGCTATCCTGGAATTTCTTATGGTTAAGTGTAGACCTTTTTATCTTCCCAGGAAGATCATTTCCACTATAATAATAATAACCTTTATAGCTCCAGATGCTAATGCCAAGCTTGCTATGAACGAACTTCATGCAGCCATTAGCAAACAACAGACTGCACACCCAGAGGCTGCATTTATTGTTGCGGGTGATTTTAATCACTCCAACCTAAACTCAGTGCTTCCTAAATTCCCCCAGCATGTTTCCTGCCACACTAGAGGAAATAAAACTCTGGACCATGTTTACACACACACGGCTGCCCCCCTCCCTCACTTTGGACAGTCAGATCACCTTTCTTTAATCCTCATTCCCAAAGTGTGGCCAGAGGGGACAGACTGTACTACAGGACAGGTTTCACGGACTGGTGTATGTTTGCCTCCTGGGCTACCTGTGATTCTCACATGGACATCAACACCTACACTTCCTCTGTGCTGGACTTTATTACCACTACCATTGGCAGTATCATAACCCAGAAACAGATCATCACGTACTCAAATCAGAAACCGTGGATAAACAAGG